CCTTCGCTGTTCCGTCTTCTTAAGGTTAAAGCTGCTGTAGTTCATGGGTTTGGTTTCCTTTTTTTTTTTTTTTTTCGTTCGCTGTCTGTTTATTTCTCTCGTTCACCCCACAGCTACCTTCTCCACTATCTAATCTCATGGTTTCACCGGATCGTTTGTGCAGCGCGTTAGGCGGATATTTTTCATTGTTAAGCTGCCTTCGTCATGATCTAACTGCTATCTTCGTCCTGTCTTTGTGAAACAGGTTCATTATTGCGCATTCGTGTAACCGTATGTTCGTGCATCTTAAGGTACTGACTGACACTACCTCATTTTTCGTTATCTATTAAGTATCTCATTTGACGCTTTAACTCGTGATTGTTCTTGTTGATGTGATTGCTGTGATGATATTTCGTTGACGAGACCTGCATAGTAGCTAGGTAAACAAACTAGCTGGGTGTGGGGCAGGGTAGTGTCTAACCTATTACAGGAGTGCTAGTTGGAGTTTAATTAACTTCCAAGTTTGTATTGTTAATTGTTTATATAAATTATATTGCATTCTGCCTATCGTTGAGATTTGAATCAGTATACATTTTTAACCGACTTGAGAAAGCACTGTTATTATATTCACTGTCCAATCGTATATAATGCTGAATTTGGCCTGTGAGGTAACCCAAATATGGTTACCAGGATACCCCACGATCGTTATTATATTTATTAAACAAAAGTTTTGTGTCTCCAAGTGTAGTTCTGTCAGGTAACCAAATCAGGTTACCGGGTGGTAACAGTAGCGCTCTGCACATTTCCAGTGGAGAAGGTTGACGATGGTAAACGGTCGTTCGCAGACGTTCAACCCCACCATCCCGCCATAAATGGAGGGCAGTGTGAAACGCGGTTGACCCCTCAGCTCATTTACCACTGAACCTTCCCCACTCGCGAACTATCGTATACTACCGCCCAAACCCAATCAACCCCGGCTTACTCTCCGACACTGTAGCTGAGCAATCGGGCGTATATGCTGGTTCGGACACCCCCCCGTTTTCCATACACAAAGAGCAATACCCTGGGTGGTTTATTGCCCTCGGGGTCAACCACGGTTCGCACAACACAAACCAAACACAAGAATGCGTTTATGAGCCAAAACGCCTTCTACATATTTCTGATGGAAGCATCGGCAAAGTGAGACTTGAGGGAAGTGCTGGCTTGCAAGCAAAATGAATGCTATGTCAGAATGTTATATTATCTAGCCTGCAGTGGGGTGCTCTATAGCGAGTACAGCCCAGTTAGGGTTTGCTATTTGTATCCCAACTGCTGCTAGTGAAACCTCTCCTTTCTTCATTCTTGTTTCTAGCTGCTATTCTGACATGGTTTCAGAGCAGGTCGACCCTCCTGGGTCGATCCTGTGGGTGGGCCCACCACCTAACTGCTTCCGCTGCTACTCTGTCTGTCGCACGCCCCGTGGCGTGCGACGCGTTTTTTCATCCCGCCGTGCGCTCGGGGCGCGCGGCGGTTTTCTGCCCGCCGTGCGCTTGGGGCGTGCGGCGGTTTTCTGCCCGCCGTGCGCCCCGAGGCGCACGGCGGTTTCCTACCGTGGGGGGCCCGCGCGCAGCCCCCGCTCTGTCCGTCGCGCTGCCTTGGGGGACCCGCGCGCAGCCCCCGCCCATCCCGTCGCCCGTCGCGGCGCCCTGGGGGATCCGCGCGCGCCTCCCCCCGCCATCCCGTCGCCCGTCGCGGCGCCGAGGGGGGCCGCGCGTCACCCTGCCCGTCGCCCGTCGCCCCCCCCCCCCCCCCCCCCCCTCCCCCCTCCCGTCGCCCGTCGCGGCGCCCTGGGGGCCGCGCGTCGCCCCTCCCGTCGCCCGTCGCGGCGCCCTGGGGGGCCGCGCGTCCCCCCCTCCTGTCGCCCGTCGCGGCGCCCTGGGGGGCTGCGCGTCCCCCCCTCCCGTCACTCGTCGAGGCGCCCTGGGGGCCCGCGCGCCGCCCCGCTTCCGCTCACACGCCGCCCCAGCTGCTGCCCCCGATTTTGCCCTGCTTTTGGGGGTATGGGGGTGGCGAGTATGGGGGTGGCGGGTGGGTGATCCGTCCCCTACTCCTCCTCCTCCTCCGTCTCCCACTGCTGCAGCTGCCGCTGAGGGGGGTGGGTGTGTGGGAGCCGAAGGAGTGGTACTAGGGGGGTGACGTGGGAGTGGAGTTAGGGGTGAAGCAGGGGGTGTGTGTCAGGGGGGTGGGACTGTTTGGGGAGGCTGAGAGGAGGCTGCCGTCGTGTCGTCCGCAGCGCCTGTATTCCGGGGCACTTGCTCCCGGTAGCTCAGAGAGCCTGCTGCACCTGTCGCCCGTGGGTCCGTTGCTCCTGCCGCTCGTCGCAGCCGCAGAGCCTGTTATTCTTGTATTCCGGGGCACTAGCTCCCGGTAGCCACTGAGTCGCAGAGCGCACTCCTGTTGCCCGTGTGTCTGCAGCTTCAGCCGTCGTCTCCTATCTTCTTTTCCCTTCCGGTTCCTCCTCCTCCTCACTTGCCCTTTGTGGTTGCCTCTGGCTTTGCTTATTATTTGTGAACTCTATGAACTGCTGCTTGTTGTGCTGATTACATCCCACTTTGGCTATGGGGGTGTGTCAGAATGTTATATTATCTAGCCTGCAGTGGGGTGCTATATAGCGAGTACAGCCCAGTTAGGGTTTGCTATTTGTATCCCAACTGCTGCTAGTGAAACCTCTCCTTTCTTCATTCTTGTTTCTAGCTGCTATTCTGACATGCTATGACGAACCAGCCTTACCTGTTTCTAGGGTTTCAAAGATTGAAACGGAGTGAGAGACTAGCGGAGACACCTGAATCTGAGCTCTACAACAGGCACTGGACACGCCAAACGATCTGAAACGCGCCGCAATTGTGAGTTTTACTTGATAGTATACGATGGCTTTAGAAAATTATAGAAGCGAGAGCGTAGTTGTGGATCTCACTGGGAGCGAAGGGTAAAAGACGAGAAGATAAGCAATCGTGAGGAGAGGAGGATTACTAGCAGGATGAATGGTACTAGCTGCTACGCGACGCGGGTTCGAAAAAAAGGATAAGCACTTCGGGATAACTTAGCTTCTAACATTAGATGAGCGGGCCGTGTGTACTTGACAAAGCAGCAGTCATGAATGCTCCCGGCTTGCGTAGTTTATGCTGGGTTACCAGCCTCCCCTGACTCGACGAACAGTGTACGAAGGTGCTGAATGTGCAAAGGTCGTCACCTGTGCAAAAAAAAAAAACGAAATACGAACGTTATATCGACTCGAGTTTGGAACAGGTGACGGGCAGGAGCACTGGTCTAAAATGGAGGCGACTCAAATTCGTACCTATCAAGGCACTTGCGTGGGTGAACCGAGAACGACACAGCGCTACTATATCTGGCTTTTCGCTTCGACGATTGCGAAAGGTGTTTGCAGTGGTAACTGCCAAAAAAACGCAATTGCCTGTGATCTGGAACACAACGAATGTGTCGAACTCGAGATTTGAGTGCTGATTATGATTTGAACCACTTGTTTCGTTCCCACTCAAAGCACCTGTCGAGAAGCTTGTGTCAATCAGAGCATAGTAGACATATTTTGAGGAAAGGTGACCCGAATCGCCTCTACGAAATCAGTACGCACGGCGACGCCGATTCCCGTAGCCATTCGTAAAATCGTCCGCGCGTCGTGTCCTCTCGTCTCCTTCCTGGCCCGCCTGTTGTTTTGCCTCCTTCCCTCTCGAAATATCTAAGCCTCGCCATCACTCAGCACTCACTGAAGATCGAGTTACTTCGCGCCGCTCCTGAGTCTCTTCGAGGGCCGCGGAAACGCAAATTAGAGGTAAGACTCCCTATCGTCATCCGAAAGTTGACGGGTCCCGCAAGTTACTTTTCCAGGGCCTAAAACTAACTTCGAATCAAGTAACAAGCAACATACTGGATAACTGGCTTTTTTGCACGCGACTGACTCAAGGTCGCAGGCTTCGCTTCCCCGAAATGTGGGAACCAATCGAGGTAACTTGGGTTAGGCTCGGCAATGCTTCTGATTGGTTCGACTTGGGAGTCAGGATGTCTACATTTCGCGTCACAATTTCCCGCCTAGGGTTTGTCCGAGTAGCATTGATGCGCGTGTGCACTTGTAATTGGTGGTTTATCTGACACACGCGACCCTATAATCTTGATAGACTCTACGAACTGTTTTTTTTTTTCTTCCGAATGCCAGATACAGATTGCTCAGTTTTTGTGACCATAAAGAACGAAGGCTTACTATTGATAAGTACACCAGGAGCTGTTCCAGTACAGTGAAAATGGTTACAATGTATTCTGCATATAAAACGTTTTTCTAACCATATAGAATCCAGCAATTCATTTGCATGCAATAACAATTAATGCATATGATTTGTGGATCGTAGCACAGCAGCGTTTCCCTACAATCGTGATTATACAATCAAATCAAAATGGTCCTTCATGAAATGCACTTAACATCAAGCTCACAATTTATTCAGAGAGGTAATCTTGGTGTAAAAAAACACAGCACACCATTGACGCCCAAATCACTAAAAGCATGCTACAATGAGAAAAATCCTAATATTGCAACCTTAATTTCCATACTATGCATGGAGCCAAAAAATCAAAACCTTCAAATGGGTAATTTCAATTCAACCAGGCTGCCCCTAGCTCGAAAAGGCTGAACGTTTGGCTTGTGCAAACGACCCGCATATACGACCTGGGAGAGGGGCAGGAAGAGGGGGAAGAAAAGGGGAAGGGGGGACAGAGAGGGCACGAGAAGGAGGGGGGTTAGACTGCATGTGGTTTGCGGAATGACGTGATTGGTAGTGTAAGGTTTGATCAAAATAGCAAGGCTATGCACGTGTTGACAGCGGAATGTGTAACATACCCTCCCTTTTTCTCCCTTCCCCTCCCTTCCCTCCCTCCCCCCTTCCCACTCCCCCTCCCCCTCCCCCCCCCCCCCCCCCCCCCCTCCCCTCCCTCCCCGCCGCCTCATTGTCATGCCTTCGCGCTAGCCCCCAGCTCACCTCGGGTTGAGCTAGCGCAAGTCGAACCCCGGGCGCCACCCGAACGGACCGTAGCGTCCTCAGCTCGTCCGCCGCCACGGGCGACTGCGCTGCTGAAGCCACTCGTCGAGGTGCACCGTAGCGAGCGCGCGCGGGCGAGGTGCATGGGAGCGAGCGAGCGCGCGCGCTCGCGAGCTGCATGGGAGCGAGCGAAAGTGCGCACGCGAGGTACACGTGACCGACGGCGCCACGCCAGTGCTCTCTGCGAACACAAGATCAGGTTGAAGGGGGATTTTGGAACAGGAACGCGGAAAGACGGAGACGTGAGGAAAGTGGAAGGAAAAATGGGAACGAGGAAATGCCGCCGTGATAGTCGCTCTCTGCAGACATCAAGAAACTTTAATAACAACAAGAAACGGAAAAAGGAGAAACGTAAGTAGGAACTAGAACGTAAGTAGGAACTTGAAACGAAAAAAAAAAAAAAAAAAAACTTCGAACACTACAGGACAAGACGACAACGTTAAGAGCAGCGCGACGCCTGGCACATGGCGGATCGACGAGGCCGGGATGATTCCGTAGAGGGGTGGATACTAACTAGGGAAATGGGGTATGGCGGACACTGGAGAAACGAGCGCATTTGAAAAGTTGAAGCACGGAATAGAAATGCAGTAAGATATACGCTCGTGAGTGATGTGAGGTGACAGAGGTGTGGGGTGTGGGGGAAGGGAGTAGTCGAGATGAAAAGGACGCTCGACAGGTGGGGAAGACTGCAAATTTTGATGGTCAAGATTCGACAGTTTTAGCGAGATCGACGGTCCACAACTGAAGTGAGACAACATTACCTATACTGGGGCGTGGTTTCAATTGGCGGAAATTGATGTGTCAACGCGGTGAACCAGGAGAACCGTCGATAACTCAGTAACAAGCTAGCAAACTAAGGACATCCATCTCGCCAGCGTTATGCGTTGTAAACTAAAACAGTCCCGAAAACGGAAAGCTCGTCTATCACCTCACACAATAATAACACGCAATTCTGCTTCAGCAAATGATTTAAACCTTTATTATCAAGTTGTTGAAGAATCCCAAACAAGGACAACACATATTAAAAAAAAATAAAAAAAATGTATCAGGTTATTTGATTCCCACACAGTAGATTCCACAGTCGTGTTTAATCGTCTTCATACTACTACTACGACTACTATTACTAGTACTACGATAACGACTACAACAACAACAACAACAACTACTACTACTACTACTACTACTACTACTACTACTACTACTACTACTACTACTACTACTACTACTACTACTACTACTACTACTACTACTACTACTACTACTACTACTACTACTACTACGACTACCACCGCTACTACTACCAGCAAACGCACAAACAAGCGTCACGTGCTACGTAGTTGGGCGAACGAGGTCAAACCAGTTCCTATGGCAAGCGAATAGGATGCACTGACTAAATGTGTGAAGAAATAGTGCTAAAAACAACATCTAAATGTTGAAACGGTGACATGTTGCACACGGGCCTATCCTTGCACAGATTCAGACCAGCAAACACACAAGCAAGCGTCACGTGCTGCGTAGTTGGGCGAACGAGGTCAAACCAGTTCCTATGGCAAGCGAATACGATGCACTGACTAAATGTGTGAAGAAATAGGGCTAAAAACAACATCTAAACGTTGAAACGGTGACATGTTGCACACAAGCCTATCCTTGCACAGATTCAGACTAGCAAACACTCAAACAAGCGTCATGTGCTGTGTAGTTGGGCGAACGAGGTCAAACCAGTTCCTATGGCAAGCGAATAGGATGTACTAACTGAATGTGTGAAGAAATAGTGCTAAAAACAACGTTCAAATGTTGAAACGGTGACATGTTGCACACAGGCCTATCCTTGCACAGATTCAGACCAGCAAACACACAAACAAGCGTCACGTGCTGCGTAGTTGGGCGAACGAGGTCAGACCAGTTCCTATGGCAAGCGAATAGGATGCACTGACTAAATGTGTAAAGAAATAGTGCTAAAAACAACATCTAAACGTTGAAACTGTGACATGTTGCACACAAGCCTATCCTTGCACAGATTCAGGCCAGCAAACGCACAAACATGCACCACGAGCTGCGTAGTTGTGCTAATGAGATGAAATCAGTTCCTATGGCTAGGTAATAGGATGTAGTAAAGGACTGTGTGAAGAAATAGTGGTAAAAAAGGCATCCAGATGTTGGCGCAGTGACATGTTGCGCACAGGCCTATCCTTGAACAGATTCAGGCCAGCAAACGCACAAACATGCACCACGAGCTGCGTAGTTGTGCTAATGAGATGAAATCAGTTCCTATGGCTAGGTAATAGGATGTAGTAGAGAATTGTGTGAAGAAATAGTGGTAAAAATGTCAAAGTATATGCCTGTGTCATAATAAAATGTAGGCTTTAGTGGGGTAGCTAATGTAGGGTATAGGCTTTGTTACTTGTACCCAACTTTCTCGATAGTGCAACCATCCTTTTCTCTCGACATGGTATTAAGAGCAACATGGGTCCTTAGGACCATTTTAGGACTGTTTTTCAGGGCCCACCAATCGTTTTTCGCCGGTTACCGAGTTACCCCGCCCCTTGCCTACGCTGCCCTGCGTCGTGCAGCCCTCGCGCTCGCCTCTGCCGGCCCTCGTACAGCCCGCTAGCAGCCCGCCTGCTGCCTCGTCAGCCCCGCGCGTAGCTCGCTAGCTGCCTTGTCAGGCCCGCGCGCTGCCCCGCAGCCCCCGCCCTGCTTTCTCCTGCCCCGCGAGCCGCTCCGCAGCCCTCGCGCTGCTTTCTACGGCCGCCGACGTGGCCCCGCCTGGCCTACGCGCTGCCCCCCGTCGCCCGTCGCGACGCCTGTGGGACCCGCGCGCTGCCCTGCACCAGCGACGCCGCCCCTGAAGCAGCCGCCCCTGGCCCTTGCAGCAGCCGCCCCTGGTGCAGCCGCCCCTGGACCCTCGAGCAGCCGCCCCTGGACCCAGAGCTGCCGCCCCTGGCCCCTGAAACAGCTGCCCCTGGTGCAGCCGCCCCTGGACTCCGTGCAGCCGCACCTGGACTCGCGACGCCGCCCCTGCAGCAGCCGCCCCTGGCCCCTGGGGCAGTCGCCACTGCAGCAGCCGCCCCTGGCCCCTGGGGCAGCCGCCCCTGCAGCAGCCGCCCCTGGCCCCTGGAGCAGCCGCCCCTGCAGCAGCCGCCCCTGGCCCCTGGAGCAGCCGCCCCTGCAGCAGCCGCCCCTGGCCCCTGGGGCAGCCGCCACTGCAGCAGCCGCCCCTGGCCCCTGGGGCAGCCGCCCCTGCAACAGCCGCCCTTGGCCCCTGGGGCAGCAGCCCCTGCAGCAGCCGCCCCTGGCCCCTGGGGCAGCCGCCCCGGCAGCAGCCGCCCCTGGCCCCTGGAGCAGCCGCCCCTGCAGCAGCCGCCCCTGGCCCTACTCTGCAGCCACTGTTGCCGACCCTCGCCCGACGAGCGCCTACCCTTCCCACCACTGGTGAGCACCTGCCTTGTTCGCGCGCTGCCGCGCCATTTGCCTGCCTGCCTTCCTGCCTGCCTGCCACGCCTGCCTGCCTGCCGCGCCGCCCCTCCCTGCGCTGCCACTGCTGCTACTGCTGCTCCTTCTGTTACTATTGCTAGGCTCTTACTGCTGCTGCTACTGCTACTATTGCTACTGTTGCTACTGGCGGTGGCCAGATGCAGCTCCAACGACGTCCGCGCGAGTCTCTCACGCCTCAGCAGCTTCGTGAGTGGTACGCTAGTTGGGGTTGTGGCGGTAGCCGTCGTGGCTGTCGCCCTGGAGCTGGTCGGTCGGGAGCGTCTGGCAGTGGCCAGCTGCAGCTGCAGCTGCAGCGGCGTCCGCGCGAGACACTTACGTCCCAGCAGCTTCACGAGTGGTACGCTCAGAGTCGAGGGTCTCGGAGTACCGTTCGCTGCCCGTACGTCCTTCGCACAGGTGATCGGGCTGGTCAGGCCTGCGGGACACTTGGTCACACCCAGTCCCGCTGCTTCGCCCGTCTGAGCGACGCCTGGCGTACCGAGTTTGGCGACGAGGCTGAGCTCCCCACCTGGCTGGAGCTGCTTGGGCAGAGGGTAGATATCTTTGCTCTTGACTATGATGCTATTCTCACTGCCATGTATGCATTGCCTACTAGTGCTGACCGTGCCTGTTCCCTGTGCGTACCGCCTGACCCAGGTATAGAGCCTGCTGCTCTAGGTGCTGGTGAGGCTGCTGCTCTAGGTGCTAGTGCGTCTCCTGCTCTAGGTACTGGTGAGGCTACTGCTCCAGGTGCTGGTGAGTCTGCTCTCTCTGGTACTGCGCCTACTGAGGCCTTGTACACCTTCACACTTGACTCAGGTGCTTCCCGCTCCTTCTTTCGCGACAGCACCACCCTCACGCCGCTCCGTCGGCCGGTTGCAGTCTCCCTGGCAGACCCCTCTGGGGGTCCAGTCCTTGCGCACTCCTCCACGGTCCTGCCGTGTCCGGCGGTTCCGTCTGGCTCCCTGTCAGGTCTTCACCTCCCCTCGTTCTCTACGAACATGGTGAGTGGAGCTGACCTACAGGATGTGTGGGTTGACCAGTTCACCCCTGGAGGTCAGCGTGTGACCCACTGTACGTGCTCCCGGACTGGTCGGCACCTGGCCACGTTCACCCGAGCGCCTGGCTCGAGTCTGTACACACTGACTACTGTGTCCCCTCAGGTTGCTGCGTCTGCGTCTGTGTTTGCGTCAGGTCAGCTAGCAGCCCCCTGCTCGTGTCGTGCTTTGTCGCACCAGACTGTCCTTTGGCACCACCGTCTTGGTCACCCCTCGGTGCAGCGCCTTCGTAGCATGCACCGCCGTTTCCTTGTCTCTGGACTTCCAGAGACTCTGCCTCCTCTACCACCCTTGCCTGCTCCTCCCCGTCTTCCCTGTGTCGAGGGGCGGCAGCGCGCCGCTCCTCAGTCCTCCTCGTTCCCTCCCACAGAGGCTCCACTGCAGACTCTCCACCTGGACGTGTGGGGCCCAGCCCGCGTCCGTGGACAGGGCCACGAGCGGTACTTCCTGCTGGTCGTCGACGACTACACGCGTTACACCACGGTCTTCCCCTTGCGCAGCAAGGGGGAGGTCCCTGATGTTTTGATCCCCTGGATCCGCGCTGTTCGTCTCCAGCTCCGCGAGCGGTTCCAGTTGGACTTTCCTGTCCTGCGTCTGCACTCCGACAGAGGTGGTGAGTTATCCTCAGACCTCTTGGCAGCCTACTGTG